GATACTAGGGTTTAAAAAGACTTCTGTAGAAGTTAAAGTATCAACTCAAGCTTTTTACTCAAAGTGTAAAAGTACTGGTTTCAAAACTACTTAAAGTATAAAAGTTAAAGTAATGTAAGGGGGAAAAAATGCCATTAAGGACAAAAGCTTAGGCCGCACCACAGCGTGTAGGAATGGTATATGTTTATACTTCTCATCCAACCACAATCAAATTCACTCTATCAGGACGGCGCGATTGATCTGGATAGGTTTTTGAAGGATGACAAGCCGGAGTGAAAACAAGCTGAAATGAAATAGGAGTAACAAGGCTATTTTTAAAATGTAAGGAGTAGAAGTAAAAAGTCTGCTGAAAAAGAATTACTCCAGTAAAGTATAGATACCCAAAATGTCTCCTTAAGTAAGAGACACCTCTGCACTGGAGTGAGGTGTGACTCTTGAGGTTTGTTGTGGATCCGTCTGCAGCTTTAACTCGCTGATTTCTGTCCTCTGTGTTTTGCAGAAGAAGGACTTAAGGTCACTCCACCGACAGTCAGAGTTCTCCCAGCTTCTCCAAAGGAGTGTGGACACCAGAGTAAGACCATCGTTTGTGTGGCCAGTGGATTCTACCCGGATCATGTCAGCTTCTCCTGGACCGACAAAGAGGGCGAGGTCAGCTCAGGTGTGGCGACGGACAGCGAGGCCGTGCTGGAAGAAGGAAAGACCTACGTGATGAGCAGCAGGCTGAGGGTCTCTGCTGAAGAGTGGAACAATCCTGACAATGAATTCACCTGCACCGTCCGCTTCTTTGACGGGGACAAAACGGTCCCTTACTCTGCTTCAGTTAAAGGAATAGAAGGTAATAATCTGATTCTTCATCTGTTAGAAAAACAAACACAGCGACATGTTTCCTCGTCTGATTCTCGTCTCTTTTCTCCTGACAGCTGAAAGAAAAACCATCACCAGAGGTAAACGTCTTACTACACTGTGATGATCATAGAACTCATATAAACTGAATGTTTCCTTCTTTAAATCTCATCTCCATGTTTGAACTCTTTCAGACAAATATCTGAAGGTCACGCAGAGCGCCAAACTGACGTACAGCGTGTTCATCGTGAAGAGCTGTTTCTACGGAGCGTTTGTAGCTTTTCTGCTGCTCAAGTTTCAGGTGAGCTCGAGTTTAAATCCTCTCCTCTGACCGCTTTGGGATCTGTGAGTTGAATAATAAAGACGTGGTGTTCTTTCTGTTTGTTCCAGGGGGCGAAGCAGAAGAACTGAGAGCAGAGCCGACGCCTCACAAGAGGATTCTGGGAAATCTGCTCAGTGTTCATGTCTGTGTATGAAGTTAGCAAACCTTTAATCTTCAAGCTACTTTTAAAATGATTGTTCTTCGGGGCGCCATATAGCCTAGCGGTCATGTTGCACGCCCCATGTACGGAGGTTGTGTCCTCGTCGCAGCGAGCGGCCGTGGGTTTGAATCCGACCTCTGACCTCCTCTCTCTTCAGCTGTTCTTTCTCATAAAAGCAAAAAGACCCAAAAAATATCTTTCTTTTTTTTTAAAGATCGTCCTTCACAGACGCTTCACTCTGAACGTCATCAAAGAAAATCACAACGATACCTTTAAAAACAGACGTGAAGAACGAGCTACGATCAGACCAGAGCTGCACACATGATCCATCTTATCACACTTCAGAGTTACAAAGATGTGTCGTGTTTTATTCTTTCTTTCTTTCTGTCCTTCTGTCACTGAAAACTTCACGTCTTTTCTTTCTGCTCTGTACGAGAATTATATTCAAATGTGTCATCTTTAATAAAGACTTATCAGACTTTACTTCAATTCTTTGACTGCTTGCTTCTTTTTTGTCTCGATGAAATGTTTAAAAAAATCAAGATTAAGATTCATTATTTAAATACAAAGGTTTATAATCGAGCTTCTTTATTTCTTTTTTCGTCTTCTGACTCCTCAAAGCTCTTTTACACTGCAGGTCACACCTACACATTCACACACTGATGGTAGAGGCTGCTGAGTAAAGAGTCCATCAGTATTAACTCATCCATTCATACACATTCACACACTGATGGTAGAGGCTGCTGAGTAAAGAGTCCATCAGTATTAACTCATCCATTCATACACATTCACACACTGATGGTAGAGGCTGCTGAGTAAAGAGTCCATCAGTATTAACTCATCCATTCATACACATTCACACACTGATGGTAGAGGCTGCTGAGAGTCCATCAGTATTATCTCATCCATTCATACACATGATGTACATACATCAGTACTCATCCATTCATACACATTCACACTGATGATAAAGCAGTGGGAGCAACATGGGTCAATCGCTTGCCCAAGGACACATCGTACATCACGTGAGTGACTTTATGAGATTTTCTTGAAACTTTGATAATTTATAAAAGTTGATTGAGTTTTTCTCAGAGAGGGGGATGTACGGTGGCCTTGGAGCAATAAAAATAAGAAGTTTAAAATGGAGAGAACATTTTTGTTTTTTAACAAGTGTTTTTTATGAAAGATAAAATAGAAAATTGAGATTCAAAACAAAACAAATAAAGAGAATGAAGGTTTTATGTGATTTATACCCAGCTGGCTCCAACATTTCCCGTCTCTCTCGAGCTGTTGCTCTTCTGGATCTCTGCAGTGTTAAAGTTGATCCACAAACAGGATGCAGAAATTAAAGTTTATTCAGGTCGGACACACGCACAGAAAAACTCCTACAGACTCAAATTCTTCCATCTAACAGAAGTTATTCAAACAGAGAAACTGTCTCTCCTCACAGCCTCTTCACACACAGAGACACAAATGATCAGAGACATGTCCTCCTACGTCTCCCAGGCCGCTCTACTGTTGACCAGAAGTAACAAACTAAAGACACTTTTAAAGATACTGACTCTACCTCTCGGCCTAAAAATCAACATTAATCAAACATGATCTATAACTCAGCAGGCTCTAAACCAGAACAAGTGGACAGATAAGTCGTACTTTCTCAGTCTTCTTGTCCTCGCTCTCACACCTCCTCCCACGCCGAGCATCTTTGTTTCCACAGTGGGAGGTATTTTTAGCTGCTCGCTTTATCTCCCTCTTTTCTCAGAAATCTGTTATTTCTCTCCCACATGATGCTGAAACACGTCAGCTCAGGAAACTTCAGGAGCTGATTTATTTGTATCATTTTCCATTAAGCTAACTGAGTCATGTGACCTGCAGTGACCTGCAGTGAGGGAGAGCTTGGCGTCCCTGCCTCGGTGTCTTTTTCATGTCTTTAATGTTTTGATGTGTTCTTAATGAGATTATTAATTCATTTGTGTTTTTTTCTCGACCCCATTAGTTGAGATTTCTCTCTCCTTTATGTCCTGATAGGTGGAACATCGAGCACTTTTCAATTTCTGTTTTGGTTTTAAATATTTCTCCTCCTCTTGTGTCTTGTTCCTTGTTACATCAATTTGTTAATCTGTGTGTCATGATGGATGTCAAGTTTGCTTGCTGTTAACAAATCTATCTACGAGTACAGATAAAGTCACCTGAACCTGAACCTTAGCCTAGACCTGGACCTGGACCTGGACCTGGACCTGGACCTTACATCCTCGTCTTTATTCCAACATCTGGTGCACAGTATTCAGATGTTTTTCTATTTTTAAACTTTGACCAAACAAAATAAGAATCTTATGACAGTTTACATTCTGATGAAGAGTTAAAAAAAAAAGTATTTCCATTGGTTCAAACTGGTTCAGTAAGAAGTACACGTGTGTGTGTGTGTGTGTGTGTGTGTGTGTGTGTGTGTGAGTGTAGCGTAGCACAACAACAGGAAGTGTGAGCTGTGTCAGAGACGTGAAAGCTGCAGACGAGCAGAGAGGAGAGGATGTGGTCACAGAGCAGAGAGCACATCTCTCTGTGTGCTCACCACACACACCTGCAGCTACACACACACACACACACACACACACACACACACACACAGCTGCAAAACTTCCATTTCCATGTCAACTGAAGCTACAGAAGAAGGTCACAGTCTGTCGTGAGTTTGAATTCTCTCTGATCTGGTGCAAAGATCTGCAGCTCATGTTCTCATTCTGACATGAGGGTGTGTGTGTGTGTGTGTGTGTGTGTGTGTGTGTGTGTGTGTGTGTGTGTGTGTGTGTGTGTGTGTGTGTGTGTGTGTGTGTGTGTGTGTGTGTGTGTGTGTGGCCCGGGCTTTCCTGACTTCAGTCTATGAAATGACTCTTCTTTTCTTTGGGACAGGCAGCTTTAAGACGAGCCGTTAGCTCAGTAGTTTAAATGATACAGGAATGCAGGAAGGAGCTACAGGTCAGATTCTAACTCGGGCCGGGAATCCTTCATCCACTATGTCAGGACTATAAAATGTTTAATTAACTCCAGAATGAATATTTAGACTTACAGGGGAATTAGGTTCCACAGTCCACCCCGACCATGAATACATTTACAAACAAACATCAGATGAAGAACATCAGAAATAACAAACACACAGAGCTGGCACGCTGACCCCCTCGTGTGGTCTCTTTGGGTAATGACACCCACACGGGACAGATAAAAAGCTCGGTTTAAGGACAACAGTGATAAACTAATGAGTCAATAAATAAAGACAGGATATATATTTAACCCTGAGACAGTCACACTCTGGCGCCCCCCTGTGGTGCAGACTGGAACGTCAAGTCAAACAGGATTCACACAAAACACAGCAGCTTTTTATTTATTTATCAAAATATTGTTTTTTTATTATCAAATAATTACAATAAAAAAATTAAAAAAACAGCCCAGAGATGAAACCCAACACTTCATCAGTGAAATGTCAGAGAGTCGTTTAAAAAAAAGCGAGAGAGGGAGAGAGACAGAGAGGGAGAGACAGAGAGAGAGAGAGAGAGAGAGAGAGAGAGAGAGAGAAGAGACACAGAGAGAGAGAGAGAGAGAGAGAGAGAGAGAGGAGAGAGAGAGAGAGAGACAGAGAGAGAGAGAGAGAGAGAGACAGAGAGAGAGACAGAGAGAGACAGAGAGAGACAGAGACAGAGAGACAGAGAGAGAGAGAGAGACAGAGACAGAGAGAGAGAGAGAGAGAGGGAGAGATGATTCTCTTGAGAACAGAGAACAGGGTCAGCAGGTTAATAAGTTATGTTCAGGACGTCTCGGAGGTTTCATCACAGTCAGCTGGTGTTGACAGCAGGTCAGGTTCTATGTTTTTATATTCAGTGTACAAACAGACTCCTGCTTCACAGATTCATCTACAGTCATCGGTCCCTTTGTCATTCCTTTATGAATCCTGATTCTGCACAAACGGGTCAGATGTCCGGGGTCTCCAGTCTTTTTGGCGATCGCAGTAGTTCAGAGTTCAAAGTGTTTTTGTTTTTTTTAAGAATGCAGTCCTCCAAACGGCTTCACCTCCAGAGTCTTTCAAAACAACAACAACAACAACGTCGTCAGCTTTATCCGAGTCGGCCGAACCTTTTGTTCCTCTGTGAGTGCCGGGTGCAGCTGGCGCAGCAGAAACTGGAGTAGTACGAGTTGGAGCAGAGCCGGGCGTAAACGATCAGCTCACAGTTGGCGAGCTCGGGCTGGTCGACGCACTCTGGAGGAACATCACCGCCTGAGACAGAAAAGAAAGACGATTATTGACTTTCTTTGTTTTTGCATAAAATCAGTTTAAATAAAATCCACTGAGAAGCCGGACCCTGGAGTGGAGTGCTGTGCTTTGGTCGTTCTCTATTTCAGCCCTGCTCAGAACAGGCTGTTTCTGTGTCTGTACCTTTAAATATGTAAATGAGCTGTGTCTGACCACGCCCCCTCTCTGGAAGGGCTTGGGTGTACTCGGTCTTTCTCGCTCCATGTCCTATTGTTTACGGTGAGAAGGCAGACTCAGAGGGCAGAACAAACACCTAGCTGTGGGAGTGTCACCCACCTGGGGGAGGGGCTACTGCCCTTTGTGATGTCATGAAGGGAAAATCTCCAAACGGCCTGTTTGAGCACACATTTTCTGAAAAGTGGAGCAGGCAGAAGACAGAGAGGATGGACTTTTCTCATCATAGGGGGGTTTGTAGACGGACTAGAGACACATGTTATAGTTAGAGGAACATGGAGAAGAGGATTTTAAAATCCTTCCCCGGGGATTTTGGTGTAAGCGTTCGCTAAAAGAAGCTCGCCGTGTTTTTCTCACCTTGTGTGTCTTTAGTGACTCTGACTTCGGCCGTGGCGCTCACAGAGTAGATGCCGGTGTAAGCGTTACACGTGTACGTCCCCTCGTCTGAAGGCTTCACGTTGTTCAGGATCAGGCTGCCGTCAGACGACGTCAGGATTTTACGACCGTCCGGACGCACCGGGACGCCGTTTCTGCAGGAAAGACAGGAGAGAGTAAAACTGTGATGTTCCATGAGCTCTGTAACGGCATCTCGTGTGAAAACAGAAGCTGCTTATGTCTTTGTTTTAATATTTTTCTCTCGGGGTCTGATTCACTAAACGCACGCCGTACTGCGCTGTACAGCTAACGGTGACATTAAGAGGCAAAACAAGAGCAGGGAGCAGGACGTGATTGAGCCTGAACGTGATCAGCGCTGGAGCAAATGATGCACTCTTTTTTGGCGCCATTAGCTGCCTCAATCCATGAATCACACCCGTACTTTAGGATGGTCGTTGTGTGTCATCCCCCCCAACACCACCGCCCAGCTACAGCGCCATCCTGTGGGAAACACTGATCACTCTTCTAACAGTTAAAGCTCAAGTTCCTTCTTTCAGATTATTCTGTTACCAAAAGCACCGACCCACCTCCTGGTCTAACAGGATCCATGCTTGAAGGGGTCGTGATCTTTTACCTGGACCAGCCGATGTTGACGTTGTCTCCTGACACCACGCAGGGCAGCAGAGCTGTGCTGCCTTCAGACACCTGGATGTTATTTGGAGCGGTGGTGATCTTCAGGTCGGCTGGAGGATCAAAACAGAGAGAAACACACTTTAAACACTCACACTGCTCCTCGATGTCCTGCAGAGAGAATCCTCCTGAAACAACAGGAATACTGACCTCTGCTGGTGAGAGGGAGACATGACAGTATAAACAGATATCTGCAGTGAACTGAAACAGTCCTGATAGCAGTGTTGTAGTCGAGCCATTAAACTTTAAGTGTTAGTCAAATCTCAAATCTCAAGTTACCAAAGAAGAGTCCGAGTCCTTCAGGTGGAGTCTGAGTGTTAACCGTCAGTTCTCCTTCAGCTCATTCATTTAACGATTTAAAGAAGTCAAAGCTTCTGACCTTAAAGTCTTTATATGTGATTTTTCATACTTAAATGTAGAAATCAAGTATATCCTCTGAAAATAACTCTGTGAGTCATGACTGTCTACAATGGGTGTAACACCCGAGTCCCACTGTCTGTGATGTTTCAGAGTTTTCAGAGTCCTATCTTCACTTTGTTTACATCGCGGGACGGCCGGCTGACTCCTCCCCTTGTGTATAAAAGTTGTTTAATTGAGGGACTAGAGAAAAGAAGAATAACATACTGTACTCACTGCTTAACTGTGTTTCTAGATCACGCTCATTTCAGGTAAATTTACATGCAGTGTGAAGATACCAGCATAATAAAGATCGCTAGCATTAGCATGCTAACACAACAATGCAGCGCAGTTGTTTTGGTTTCATGCTGGTGCTCAAGGGCGACATCTGCTGGATCAAAACATCACATATAAAGCCTTTAACCTCTCTGTACTCTGGGAGTCTTTGATCATCATAAATAAAAAGTTGATCTCAGCTCTGATGGAGTTCAGGGTTGATAAAGAAGAGCTGTTTGACCGTCTGAACCTCCACTGACCGTGTGGGAAACTTTTCATTTATTAACGTCAGACTCTGAACGATCCCGTCAGCGTGACTGGAGTTTTAAATTATTATTAAAGTTACAGCGCTGTGCGTCGAGTTTAAATGTGCACCGCTCAGTACGAGGAGACGCCCGAGTGTTTCTGCTGCAGGCGTCTGATAAACTTAAAGAT